GCAAATATGACATTTAGAAAATAGCCATCATCCAAAGAGTGTGGTGAGCAACTGGTTAAATAGCACTTCCAGAGAAAACATTCTTGCAGCTATAGCAGTTTGCAGTAATCCTTCCCTCCATCTAACACTGGTAGAGCCTCCTATGAAGTTTTATGCCCAATTTTGGACACTGCCTTTCAGGGAAGATGTAGACCACTTGAAGAAACTCCAGAAGAGAATCAATAGAAAGATCAGAAGTCTGAAACCTTGACCTATGAAGAAATATTGAAGGAATTGGATTGTTTAGTTTAGAAAGAGCAGAGCAAGAGAGACACAATAGCTGTCTTCAGACAAATGAAGTCTCTATCTGCCAGCGCAGTTGTAGTTGATCCTGCCTCAGGGCAGGGGTGGCTCCTGGGCTTTCTCCCAGCTCTCTTTCCTTGGTTCAGAAGGCAGGGAGTTAGCAAAAAGAGGGTGATGCACTCACAAGCCATGCTGTTAGCAAAGATCAATGCAATGCATATGCTCTCCCCATAAAACACAGATGCATTTGAATAAATCTGTTCCCTCCTTCTCCCGACAAAGCTCCGGGTTGCATTCAACCATAATTCAGCCACTGCAAACACCCCGCTATATGCCATCCATATGTACAACACTGCTTGGAGTGGGAGCACCTCATCCTTTTGCTGCCTTTAGAGTTGTGACTGGGATACAACCCTGGGAAATTGCACAAAACACGTTAGAGGAGCCCTGTTTTCCTGGAAAAAAAGAAAAGCACGTGGCAATCCTAGAGAGCTGGTGGGTGCTAGAGACTGCAAAATCTGAGCAGCAGCAGCCAAGAGACAGACACAAAGGAGCAGGCAGCACACAGGCCCCTTCTCTCCTTCCGCAGCCGCCCGCGCAGCCGGCAGCAGCACAGAGGGGCTTTGTGCTCGGGGCAGTCCCATGGCCCTGCTTACATTGGCCCAGCAGCGCGGGGTTAGTGCCGGAGGGGTGATGTCCAGGGGGTTCTGGGCAGGAGCCTCTGCGACCCAGGCTGCCCCACCAACAAATCCCCCATTCACCCTGTGCAGAAAGTGGATTCCCCTGTAGAAGACCTTCCCACGGTGCCCAGCAGTGCTGGGTGCGCTGCGCAGCATCCCCAGCTGCTCTGCAAGGCACTCGCGCCACCTCCCATCCCCTCATTGCAGCCCCTCTCCCCGTTGTTAGAAGATATTCTTCTGGTTTACATCCCAGCAGTCAGACCCAAGATACTCAATACTCTCAAATAACAACCAACAAGTGGCAGGATACCACTGACACAATGACCTTTATACAGATCATTTTCACATTTATATGATGTTTACTGGGCTTCTAAGCCTGTACCCTATTTACAGTCATTTCTTTAGGATTCATACATCAAAGTCATTTTCAAATCAGAAGAAACAACTGCTATCAGTTACATCTGCCCTCCTATCAGGCAACTTCTGGTATTAATTTGCTACCAGCCCATCAAAGCTCTATTTTAACTGGGGAAGATTTGTTGCTGCTACTCACAAAGCTTGAAGTTTCATCAGAAAATATCCAGTTCAAGATGGCTTCCCCCCACAAGTTTATCACTTAAGTTATTGTTTGAATATACTTGGCTATCACATGATGTGAAGATGTTTTCCTTTCAGGGAAAAAAGAAACATCAAGCACTGATACATTTTCAGTTTTGTTATTATTGATAGTCCTAATATACTGACTTGGAATGGACCAACAGTGCTGCTAGGCTTCCTTCTGTGCTCAATATCCTTAAATTTTCCTTTGCTTTTCTTAAATCCCTGGCCGTAATTTTTTCTTTGTGCCTCTTCTGACCATCTTCACACTTTATAACTTTAAATCTGCATTAATTGCAGCTTTTTTGCCCCCTAAATATGCATCTTTTAGAGATGTTATTATTTTTCAAATTAGCATAACTTTCAACTGTTGGATTAAGGCTTTTGCAGAATAGAATAAGAAGGGAATAGGCTGCTTCCGATTAGCATTCCTATTTGTCTATTTTCAATACTCTGCTGATTCAGCTCAAGTATTTTTAAATTTGGGAATCACTTTTTTTATGAGCTACTAGATATTATTTGTTGACACATAATAAGTGTGTATGACGTATAATAATTCATAACTCTCATAGCAGTGTTTCTTTCTCTATCAAGTTTGGGGCCTATATACATTGCCATTGTGCTGGAAGTAATGCGTTGCAATTTGTGAGATGGTCACTCTTGGTTACAATATAATTCACTGAAATCCGCCACCATACCAGCCTTCCTCATCCTTCTATAGACAGTCAGGCCCTTCTCTGTCTCTGGCATCCTGGCTGGTAATGGGCACTAACCTTCACCTGCTTTGGTCACTTGTTGCCAGTTCAGCCCCAGACAGCTATTGTGTAGAAGTATTTAATTATTGTTGTTGCCATTAAAGACAGCAGGGCCACTACTTTAACAGGAAGACTGGCGATGTGGGAGTCACATCACCAACGCAGTACAGCCCACCCTTCCTTGTGCCCCATCAACCACCCACACCAAGGGGATGTAGAATTTGTCATGGCAAAAGAGAGGAAATAGTGTCCAGAACAACTGTTGCCCCCCCTTTGATAGCCTGTCGGGTCAGCAAGTTCAGAAACTTCCTGGAAAGCACAAAGTCCTGAGCACTGTAAATACTGCTACCCCCAACAGGAGGTTCTGGAAGGGGGAATGACCGCAGAGAAAATACATCCAAACCCCTCGCCACCCACAGCGTGCTCTGTGCCTGATGCTTACAGTGGTGTCAAAGTACACCCTCCCAGGAGCCACCAGTTTTTCTGTATGCCCTTTCCACTGACAACGTCTCCTGCCTCAAAAGGGCTGAGTCCACCAAGTCCCTCACCACGTCTTGAGGATGTTTTTCTCTGAATTGCAGATTCCTGGGATCGCCTTGTGCATTGAGCAACACTACCGCTTTTAGGGGCTGACTTCCCCCAGCTTCCAAAAAACAACACGGCTGCCCAAAGTGCTGCATGTGAGCAAACAGAGCAGCTGCCTGTGCTGCTGCAGGCAGCGGGAACCTGAGCTTCCCGAGGATTTCTGCACAGCAAAGCAATCAGCGGTTCTCCTAAAGTTTCACTTCCCACTCAGGACTGAAAACCATTGGAGACCAACCACAGAAGCACAAACACTGCTCCAGGGTGGTGCAGCATTAGCAGAGCCACTGTCAAAGCCCCTGGATGATGATGCCCATTGCCTGGCAGCTCCACGTGCAAGTGCATACGCTGGGGATGGCTGCAGCACTCATCTGTGCATGGGACATTGCCTACACCTGGATTGTGCCACCCCTTGCAAGTCTGATTTCCAGCAAAGGTGTTTGCTCTGTTAGAGGAGCATATCTCAGGCCTGCAAGATACCCAGTGAGTTTTTCCTCCCTTAACATGCATGGTGCCTACCTGCAGCAGAGAAAAATGTAAAGACCTTTCCTTTGCAACTAGTTCTAGCAGATGAAGTGAAAGGCCCCTTCCTATCCAGGCAGAGCAGCAGCCCCACTGCCTCCTTTTGATAAATCAGGGTTAAGCCTGCACACATAAAAAAAGACAGCTCTCTAGTCTAACACTTCCAGATTTGCCCTCGTACCTCCAGCTGTCAGCATGGTATCTCCATTCCTCATTGCAGAGCACAGGACAGGGAACAGCTGGGATAATTTCTGTCTCCTGCTGAGAAGTGTATCCACTGTCTAGGCTTTGCGGAAAAATATACTGATTTCTCAGAGGTCAACTTTAATAACTAGGATTCCCACAAACCATGAGGAGAATTCAACTCATGATATTTGGCATGAATATCACGTTCTGTTCCTCATGCTACTACAATTTCCATTTGAAATAGCAGGAAACAAATTACCCTGTGGTATTTTTCAGGACAACCAATGGGAAAAACATGGGACCAAAGTCTGTTGCAGGGCAAAGGCCTCGACAAAGTGCCTCAGTATAAGAAGAAATACTTCTTAGAGGTTGCAGAGGTAATGAAAAGTAGAAGTTAAATGTGATTCTAAATTTTCATTGTCAGAAGGGCACCCTGCAAGGACTGGAGCCTCATGCAGACATGGAACAAAACAGCGAAGGAGGTTTGCTGGATGAATAGGCTGGCACAGGATGTTATTAATTTCCAAAGTTTAGATTACTTATTACTGGTATAGGCAGTGAATCCCAGCGAGAATTAGGCTCAGGAAAGGAAATCCATTTATAATCAAACCGTAGTTTAACCTGTAATTTTTATGTCTTCATTACTCCTCCCACCCCACCCAAAGTCCTTGCATCAAATAATTCAAAATACAAACATGAAATATTTTGGATAAGGCAGCATGGGCACACAGTAGTAACAGGGACAAGGGACTGTCACAGCAACCCATCCTTCTGACAAGTGCCCAAGCTGCCCTGTCTATGTGCATTACACACAAGGGGCTGCTGTGGAGGCATTACACCACCACCACCTCTGTGTGACCGAGCAGCCCCTAGCCTTCTGCAGAGACTGCACCCAGGACTGGGCCCAGCAAACAGACATTACAGTTCTGACTTCTCACCACATCTCCCCTGGAAGAGCAAGAGCACAAGCTGCTCTCTGTTGCCAGCAAGGAGGTACAAGCAGGGAAGTCCCAAGCTGTTCTGTAACACTTGCCTCCAGCTTTCTGCTCCACGTTCTACCCTGTGTGTCTGAAGATGCTTACCAGGACAGATAAATCAACACTCTCCACTGTCAAAAGCCAGAAAAACAGAGGTTACTTCAGCTTAAGAAGTGACAAACTTGTGAGATTGCCACTTCAGCAAAGAAGACAGATTTATAGCATGGAAAAGAGCTGCCCGCTGGCTCTGTTAAGATGAGCACAGCTCCTCAGCAGCAGGAGGAATGGCCCAGCAAACCTGGGCCCATGAAGAAAGCAGTTACAGGTCTGCTGCTTCTCTGCCAGTGCTGCATTTCCCAATCTCTCAGAACCATTCTCCCTCTCACTACAGGAGGTCCCAAGCCCAAGCCAGAACCCACCTTCCAGCTGCAGGATCCCCATCCCAGCTGCAGTGCTTGCAGCAAGTTCACATGAGCACAGGCTTCTTTCCTCATGACTCCTGCAGGAGCAGAGGCATTGAAAAGGTCATTTATTAACAGCTCTCGGTCAAAGGAGCAAGAAAGAAAGCAAATCCATTTATAAATCAGCTAAAGAGAAAACTTGTGACTCTGTCTCCTTTGTAATTCCTAAGTGTGGTCTGGAGCTTCCCTGGCATCACTTCTTGTGATGCTGAATCAGCAGAACAGCCCCACTTGTCCAGTAAACAGCCTGATAAGGGCAGAATAGCCCTGAAGAAAGTGCTAAGTTCTGCTGCGTTCAGATTTTTCTTGGCTTCTGCTAGGATTTGGGAAGACTGATAGCGGTCAGCTTTCTTACCACTAAATACCAAGCAGTCACTCACATTAGCATCTACCTCTGCAATCCAGGACATATGCTTTCCTCTGGGACAAGATAGAAACACGATAAACAGAGAAAACTCATGCAAGAGCTATCTCAAACAATACTAGACAGTGCTGGCTGAGCTCTCAGATAGAACCATACCAATCCTGAATACTTTGTCAGGCTTTTTCCTTTGATATCATTTCTCAAGGGGAGAAGGAGAACAAAAATAACAAAACACTGTTCTGTTTAACAGTTACCCATAGCAGAGAAAAGCTGAGCTAAAGTTTCCAACCATTATCAGTATAAACTCTTAAAATAGACATGCAATATACTATTTTTTAATTTAAAACTGACTGGGATAGGAGTTTTATCACGTGGATTGAAAGCTGTGTAAGAGCACAAAGCAACATATCAAGATGACATGTTAGAAAAGCAGCATTAAAATGAACAGTACAGAACTGATACGGATGAAGGAGCAAAAGCCTCAAGAAGTGGTAGATCGCACTGTAATTCATTGGAAGGAACTGGACATCCAGGGAGGATAGATAAATAATGTCCAAGGTATCTATGGAAACCATCATCCTACACAAAAAACAATAAAACTTGGAAAAAGACAAACATGAGAAAAAGAATGCAAACTTTAGATATTCATAAGGACAATAACACTCATTGAAAGCAGGATTTGATCTCAAAGATATGGGGCCTCACTTAAAGAGATGTGAAGTATGAAAATAAGGGCTAAAAAGCTGATGGAGAAATAGCTGTTTAGTAACTCTGCAACTGCGGGGCTGTCTCTCAAAGCAGATTTGGGAGCCCCAGCTTTAAAATCCCTTTATAAACTGGCTGGGGTCCCACACCACTCTTGTTCAGATGACTCTCAGCAGTGGGTCTCCTCCTGGGCCACAATCTGTTCACCCTTTACACAGATACATGTGAAGTCAATTTACTTTGGATGGGAACGATGAGGGCAAAAGGCTGGTGAGTAGTTTCAGCATTGCACTTTCTATCACTGAAAGCATCCAACAACTTTTCTTGCCCTCCTGTTTTGTATCGTCCAATACTTTTCCCCAGCAATTTTCAGTTCTCAGAGCTTCTCACAGCTCAGTTTGGACTGTTCTTGTACCACTGATCATGCCATAACAAAAACTTCTTAAACTCTGCTGACTTTGCCAGTTATAAACAAAGGTTTCACATATTTTTCTCTTTTAAGAATGGAGTAGTTTTTAACGTAGCTATGACACAGGAAATTAATATAGTAATGGCACAAGACCTTATAGAGCAGGAAGATGATAGGTATTTCAAAAAGCTTTTCAGTCACTCATTTTCTCACCCACGCTCACTCCCCCTGTACTCACACGCACCGAGGTTGCCCAACTGCTCTGGCAGGATCCTGTGTGAGATGGGACGAAGGGAGCCAGATGCCAAGACCTCAGTGCATCTCTTGGGCTCCTCTTCAGCGGCAAGCTACAAGTTTTTGAGCAGGTCTTTTGCCATCTTTAGGAGCTAACGGTTACAATGGTGTGGTCCCTTTGCCATGAAATCTCTCTTACTTCATCCCCCAAGAGTCCTAGCACAAGTGGCTGCTCAGTGCCCTTTTTTTTTTTCTCATTTTGGGTATTTTAGCTCCCACAGTCTACCTTCCTGCGGGTAATGGAGGAGGAGAACTTGCACGCAGGATGTGCTGCAACCTTGCTGTCATCCTGTTATTGGAGCACATTTTTTTTACCCCAAGGAGTCATCTGTACAGGGGTTTTATCAGCACCCATGCCTTCTGACATGCCAATCATGTGAGGCTTATCAGGGTGCAGACTAGTTGGGCTTGTCGCAAACACCACATTTGTCAGTGTTTACCCAGTTCAGTGCAGTCAGTCACATCCTTGGTTATCAGCACAGACCATTCTTTTAACCCTTGCTCCGTTACTACTTCTAGTCATCTCTCTTTCTCTCACACCACACACACTTCTGTTCACACTTCCTTCAGGCCAGTTGTGGTATTTCTGTTTCTTCAGCTACATGCCTGCCTTATGCATGATGTGCCTGGACTTTCACAGGCCATCAATGCAGCTGTGAAAAGGTCTTCTTAGCTTGTTTAGGTTATGGAAGACTAATAACAGCAAAGCAAGCAGATTTTAGGGCTGGTCTGGGGTCTGCTCCTGCACACAGCTCTGCTGCTAGGATGTAGCCAGATGTCCTGCTGGGAGCTTTTCGCACAGCACACACAAACACAGCACCAGTGGCAGCCTTTTGGAAGTTAGAGGATGCTGAAATTCAAGACAGGAACAATGCAGCCTGTCCTTGGTGTCACTATCAGACTCATCACAAGGTATTTTAAACAGTTTACATCTAAGACCTCACTGACAATGTTAGAGCTGGATCTGTTTTCAGCCTACCATGTGCGGAGCAGCTCTCTGACAGTGCAGGGCGAGATCATTTTCCCTAATGTAGTGCAGACCTGGTAGTGTTCCTATACACAGGCTCAAAGGGCAAGGCTGGCATTAACCTCAGCTTCCCCCATAGAGCTCCTGGTGAGACAGGATAGCTGCAATTATCCCATAGCACAACCACAAGACTCACAAGGAAGCTTTTGTGCGCACGCATTTTCTCATGCTCATGAGTCCAGCCTTCTCTCAGCACATCGATGTCAAGCAAGGCCACGGCTGTCTCATTTCTTTCCCACTATTCCCAGGCTCCCCTTAACTCTGTGACTTTCACAGCTGACTCCAGCTCTCAGCAGTGCTGTCTGTCCACAACATATGGGGAGCTAATATCAAACAGGTAATGCTGGAGCCGACCATCATACTTTTCTGTCTGTTGAATCTCAGTCTTTCCCTAAAACCAAATTTTAATATTTAAATTTGTCACAGTGCTTTCCATTCATAAACAGCCAAGGAGTTTACAGAGGTCAGCACAATTAGCCCCATTTCCCCAGATGATGAAAAAGCACAAGGGAGCAGCAAAAACCCAGCCTGATGCTCTATCCCCTGGACCACCTCATCTGCTTGTCTGGGAAGCTCTCATGAACGAGGGCTCACAGCATGCTCCCTCCCGCAGAGAGGCAGAGTTCCCAGGATCCAGGGGAAGGAGCAGCACATTGCAGCTACACCTACTCTTAAATTAATCTTCTGTCATTTTTACATATTCTCTCACGTTCTGCCAAACTAATAGCAACCTGGAGATTATTGGTCTAGTAAAGTACACACATGACTCACACTACAAGATCTATGTAGTTGTGCTACAACTTTAAAAACATGGGAAAAAATGGGAAATGTCATTTAGGTTAGGAGAAACATGCTGGAAAAGAGAAACACAGGCAGCAGAGTCCCATAGCAGGAAAGAAACTATTCCCTGTGTTTCCTTCCCGCAGTCTGACTTCAGGGGCAGAGGTAGAAGAAACCAGTAGAGTTAAGAGTTGTTTACTACTTTATAAAGGTGTTAGGGACTACCTAACAGCAGTCCTGATGCATTATATATAATCTCTACAAAATGCTAGTAAACCTAAAGACTAAGCACTACACTACACCAAAAGTTCCTGAGATGTGGTTAGCTATGGTTTACCTCTGAGAAGTAAATGAGTAGAAAAATGCTCTCCAAGATTCCTATCTATAGAAGGACATCTACTCCCAGCAAGGCTTATGAGATCTAGCTAGCATTCCCACAGACACCAAGCAGCCACAACACTAGAAGGTCCTTAAATTTGCAGAGAAATTACTAGTCTCTGAAGCCGAGACAAGCTTTGTAACCTAAAAAGCAACTGTAAAATTACTGTCTTTAACAAGGACTTCATAGCACAGGGCCAAGTTCCATTGTAAAATACTATTTTTAAGATGAAGTGCAAAGGCTTAGCTTCACAGCTGGCTTAGCTCCTCTGTTTGCTCTGCCACAAAAAGGGACTATTCTACCCCTGTCTAAATTTTAACCATAGTACAGATTCCTTTTTCTAATTTTTACATTTATATATATATATATATAATTATTTTTTACCAGGCTGCTCTTCAGATGTGTTAAGTTCTCTGGTCAGGCTGACACAGCTACAGGCATGGTATATGAAAGGAGCAGTGGTCTAACTGTACTTTCAATCAGGCAGGGTAGGCACAGCTCAACACTTCATGTGTTAAAATCACTTGATAAACCTATCTTTAAACTTGCAACCAATTCATTTCAAAATAAGGTCTTGATTTTCTCTGACCAATGACAGAATAAATCCTAAACAACAGTGCTGGAATATTCTTTTATTTTCTTTATGGCTATTATGTTTTTTGTCATGACAGTATTTCTAAGTCTTGTAAACAAGAACCTGACTGCTAGCTTTACCAGAATAATGTTCTTTTCAGCTTCAACAGTAAACTTCCTAAACTATTTCAGGAAAGCATGACTAAATATATAGAAGCTGTAGATCAACTTATTGGGCGCATTCAATTCCAGGCAAAATTGCACATTTCCAGTGTGTTTCACACAAAGCAGCTGGAGCCAACAGCCCAGGGCTGATCTTGGCCAAGAGCAGATGTTCTCCCTGGCAAGAGCTGCCCCCTGTCATTCTGGCAAGGAGCAGGTAAGAGGGAAGGACAATTTTCAGCAGAGGAACAAATCCCGCTCCATTACCTGTCCCTACCACCAAGCCCCACGCTCCATATAGGAACTCCATCTTCTCTCTCGCTGCATGCCTGCTCCCTGGGCTTTGCCATGCACCATGGATCCTTCCATCCCATCAGCTATGCTGCAGAGTCTCCAAATTCCCTCCATCCCTCTCTTTTTGAGAAGTCTCCCCCTTCTTGCTACAGCTCAGGGAGGAAGGTGCAGAGGCGGCTGCCTCCCCTGCCCCCAGCTGCAGTGTGTCACTATTAGTGAACGTTAGAAACCGGCAGTTGCTGCTGCTCTGCTGTCTCAGGAGCCCTCCAAGCTGAGTGCAAAAGCGCTGTGAAATGATCAAGGGGGGTTGAAGTGGTTTCTACCTCCTGAGCTGCTGATTCACCTTCTCCAGGCAGCACACAGAGCTCAAAGGTCAGTTGTAGTTTGAGCTTTGGCGGAGAGATTGCACATAGTTAATGAAAAAAACAAGCTATTTCTCATTCCTTTGTAAAAATAGGTCTGTTTTCTTTTCATTTTCTTCCCCGGAGAACAATCTGGCATTCACCACCCTATATGATAAGGGCAAAGATTCTTAGAAGGATCAGAAAGGGGGAGAATAAAAACCAAAGTAAAAGCCTTTCTCTTATGCAGAATAAAAACACTCGCTCAAAGGTGTGAGTCCCAGCCTATAAACCATCCAGCCATCCTATAAGGGTTACTTTCTGGTCAAAAGAGATGTAGAGTACAGCTGGATGAAGGTCACAAGGGAGGATGGGACAGCACGGGTCAGACTGATGGGCATGTGTCCTCATACCAGAACCTTAATCACCACCTGCAAAGTGTGTTGATGTTACAGGGGGTATTTTAAAGGCAGTATGAAGGCAAACAGTGAAATGGTTCTGCAGATCCTCATGAAAAGCTCTTCTCAAGCTGGGAGGGACCCCAGTAAGAGCCCAAAAGTGCTCAGACAAGAACTATCACAGGCAGTTGTAGCACTGCTGGTGGTGGCTGAGCACTGACAGAGTAGTGACAGCAGTGACCACTACACTGCCTGCAATGTCCTTGAACATGAATAGCCAGCACAGCACAAGGAGCAGAGGGACATGGAGCCCAAAGAGCAGGCTGGGAAACTGATCTTTCCAGCTGCACTTACGGGGAGCGAATGCACGAGAGGACACATGCAGATGAATTTGTTCAGTGCACACTTAACTGACTCTGTTCCCTTCCATCTGGTCTCACACTTTTTCCCTTAACTCATTTCTTAATTTGTACTGCTAATGCAGCACTGTTTCAGAGGACAGGGCTGTTTTTGTGTCTCTCCTTGTCTTACAGTGAGGCCCTCCCCAATAACTTTAATCTGAGTGACTTTTACCCTTGCCTCCTTCTGTTCTCTCACTTCAGCTGGTGTTGGCTTTCAAGCTAGACAAGCTGAAAGTTAATGCAGAAAAAAAAGAACAAGGCTAGGGACAAGGACAGGCGCCTTTTCTCTTCTCTTTCAGCAGCACAGATTTATGTGAAATTACGCAGGCTGTAGAAGTGCACCCTTTGCTGCTCCCCAAGTAAGCATACTGGCAACAGCTCCACAGCTAGGAAACACCTACTGAAGTGCCTACAATAAAACTCCAGCTCTGCTCAAGAAAGGGATGTTTCCACTGAGCTGAGAGATGAATCCAGTTCTCACAGCTAGCTGACAAAATGATAAGAAAATACAATTTAGGAAATGGTCCCATCTAACTCATCTTTCAGAAGACCAAGAGGGGTGACTCTCTTGTGAAGATGATCTGGAATTTTACAATTTAAGTTTGATCAGTCTCAAGCAATACTAATCCCTTATGGGTTGGTTCCCTAAAGTCATCTCAGTATCATTCACTTCACCCCAAGTTCAGCCTAAACACTTCTGTCCTTAACCACATCCTGGCCACCTTGAACAGAAAATTTCCAAGCTAAGAACCTGGCTTCTATCTCAACACACTTT